CTGGATGACCTTGGGTAAGTGACTTCTCTTTCTTTGGCTTCTGTTTCCTTTACTATGAACTGGGGATATCTGCAGACCCCATATCATAGAAGTGGGTGACAATGACATGAACGGATGCAGATAGCGCGCCCCCACACGATGCCTGAATGCAACGCAGTGTCAGCACTGCACACCGTGTCTGCTATTAGCATCATTTCCTCCTTCAGAGAATTGCCCACACCTGCTTTCCATCCCATCCTGCCGCAGCTCCCCGTCCCCCATCTCTTCACACACCTCCTTCCATGCCCTCAATGGAGCGGAGGAAAATTTGAGAGCAATATACAGAGAAGAGACTCTTCAGTTGCTACCTTATTCCTCCTCTTCCAACAAATGAGCCCTGAAACAAATAGATCCCAGGCATCACGACTCATTTATAATAACCCTGGCCCTTGGGTGTTGACACAGCATCAAGGACTCAAAGATATAAGAATCCAAGGGGACAGTCCAGGAAGCCAGCCACAAGCGAGATGCTATCATCTTTTCCTCGGCTACTGCAGAGCTGAGCTGAGCCCTTTCATTAGAAATCTAACGTTACTGTAAAAACAAACCAAAAAAAAAAAAAAATCAGCAAGCTCAAAATGTGGGCATAAAAACTATCTCTGGGGAAGCAGCTCTGTTTATGTGGGCTACAACACTAAGGGCTTGTCGTAGAGTATTGTTGAGTTCTTGGCTCCCCGGCACGTGACCTGTGGCCCATCCATGTTTTGTAGGGTACCAGGAGAGGGAAACACTCTACATGTCTCACACTTTGACAGCCTTTGAGATCTCTGCAGGTTCTTTCTCCCTGGCTTTCATCTATGCATCCCTCCATTTCTGCCTGCAGCAGTGAAGCATCAATTATACACTCCAATTATGTGATTATACATATTTTCACTAATTAATAATAATTTTTGCTGCTCATCCTGCCAACTCCTATTGGAGAACCTCAGAGGGCATTTGAGAGGATGAATCACAGTGGTGACACCCAAGAGGACATGAGCGAGACCTATAGAACTCCCAGAATGAAAGGGAAAGTGAGGCACCACAAGACACTTCTCCAAGCCTATGACAGAGACCACTGAATCAAAGACTTGGCTTTGTCTGGGCAGATTATGACCTGAAGGTATAGGCCTGCTAGATGGTACTGCTGCTTGGAGAAGTGGCAGGAAGAGGAAAATAGTTTAGCCCAGGGATAGTGCTTTGTGGGTATGAAACCGGCTGTCGTCAGGGTTAAAAGTGATTCTATTTACAGAAACCTGGACTTTTGAGTTACATATCCTTCTGTGTCTTCCTCTCTTGAGACTTGCAAACATGCTGTGCAGAAAGTCACTTTCTGCCCTGGCCAAGAACATCACTCTCTTTCCCAGTGTCACAGTCAGAGCAGATGGCCCTGGGATGTCCCCTGGTCCAGCCTGCTCATTTTTCAGAGATATCTGCTCTAAGCCCAGAGTCGATAAATACTTCAAGGTACCATAACATTATGCCCATTGTCAAATTTGCTCATCAAAAGCATCCTGGGTGGTAAATTTTATTAGCTTCATATTACAGAAGAAATCAATGTCTTAGGAAAGACTTGCCCAAGGTCACATGGGTGATAAGTGACAGAGCTGTGACTAAGACAAGATCCCAGTCCATTCCCAAACCCATGCCCTTTTCATCGTGTCACGTTGATGACACAGCTAATTAGTGACAGAAGCACTTTGATGCATAAGACCAATCCATGAGCTCTTGGAAGACAAGATAAGCCAAACTGACAAAGAGAACAAGACATTCCATCTTTAAGCTGAGTCTTCCTGAAGCCAAATTTCATTTTGATTGGCGCAGTCAGACAGCAGTCCCAGTCATTGAAAAAAATCAATCAAAGCAGTTTTCAGCCTCAACAGACTGATCATTGGATGGGCCTGATAGTTCAGGTCCAACAGTTCATCTAGACTGCGTTAAAGCCTTGATTGATGTAGGGATTACATCTGCCACAGAAAAGTCACTGCACTGGATGGGTCCAGCCCTCTGTGTGCATGATCAAGCCCCCTGCTGTTCTGTTGCCTGGGGCCATGACCAGCAGGGAGAGTTGGCATGTTGGTACCCCCAGCACAATGGGGAGACCAAGAGTCAGGACCTGTTCATATGAATTCTGTGGCCAAAGGCAGAGCAGGCTTCAGCAGACTTGCAGCATCCAGGTAAGTTTAACACTTAAGCCCAGGACAATCAAACCTAACAAAAAGGAGTAACGCTATGGATCTGCCACTCTTTCCATCCACCGCCCAGCCCTGCACATCCAACTCCTGCCCAGCAGGAGAGCCCAACCCAGCAATCACCACCAGCCACACAGTGATACACAAAAACAGATCTAAGGCCCCTGCCTGTCACTTGTCCCAGCTACATAGTTCTGGAAAAATGACAAAAATCCCAGCATTTCAGTTCCAGCTCAGAGATTAGATGTGAACTCTTCTCCCTCCCACACCTCCAGCTTTTTATCCGTCCTTTTCATAGAACTGATTTGCTATCCTGTGAATTAATTTTCTGGATAATCTTCTATTTCCTTTATTAGAGGCTGAGAGAGTTGGTACAAAGATGCTATTATTTACAAAAAGATATATGAATGGCCAATAAGCTCATGGAAAGATGTTAAACATCATTAGTCATCAGGGAAATGCAAATTAAAACTGCAAATTAGATATCACTACACACCCATAAGAATGGCTGAATTATAAAGAAATGAGATCGGAGTGATGGAGGGTGGGGCACTGCGTGTGCACTTGTGAGGCCATGAGGTGGACTCACCCACTGGTGGCGAGAGTGTCAAAGGGCTCAACAACCCCTTTGGGAAAATAGGCAATTTCCTAGCTCTAGTTGTAGATGTCACCTATTTCCTCAATCTTCATTGTGTTCCTGGTTTACATCATCCATTCATTATGTTTCTTAATTCAGCAACATGGTTTTAGCTATTGCTTTAAACTGCTCTTCAAAATTCAGACTTTAGTGTAAACGGCCTCAATCTGAAATACTGACAAATTTTCCAAATTTTGACTGTGGTAGGGACTAAGCAAAGCACTTCCTAGGTCAAAGCAGTAAAGGGCCAGGTTGTTAACATCATCCTGGAGGCTACCACCCCCTAGGGGCGGGGACCATGGCAGGGCTTAAGGGCTCTATCCCCACCCCTCACCCCACCACTGAAAGGATCCAGTTTACTCCTTAAAAGTAGGCAAAGAAGCCAAGCTAGCTGAAGAAATGCATTGATTTGCAGACCTGAAAGTCTGGGGTCTGGGGCCAGGCACAGCTAGATGCAAGGCATGTTCTCTGTGTCTCTGAGTTCTGCTGGCTTGCAAGTGTGTTGTGTCTCAGTTTCCTGTGCTTAATAACATGTTTGCCCATAGTTCCAGGCCCAGATCCTCACAGGTTAATGTGCAGCAGGTTCAAGTTAGAACTTTGCTTCTCCAATAGTCAAACAGAGACCTGAGTCCACTCCCACTGGTCTAAGTGTGCCTGTGCTTATCCTTGAACATACTGCAGTGCCCTGGAGATACAGAGCAGTGATAGGCCAGGCCAGGTCCACCTGCCCTTGGAGTGGGGACAGTGGCATAAGAGCAAAGGGGATGTCTTCAGAGATGGGCTGTAGCGTGACCCCCTCTTCCATGGTGAGTGGAGGCTGGGCGACCACAAAAACACAAATCCATACCCCAATGTGCCATAAATATTTCTCCTATGAATGAACACACAGGTGACTGACCCTCTGAACATGAGTGGGAGATTATTCCAGAAGGAAATGACATATGTTTTCTCCTTCTTACTCAAGGAAATCTAGACAGCCAAAAAAACACTGTGTTCCAAGAACCTGTTCACATTAGCAGTGAATTCCCAATTATCATTACGTGGCAGATTCCCTCTGGATTATCCAGGTCACATGTGTACCCTAGTTGCAGGCTCCTGGCATGTCAGGGTGCCAGACAGAACCCAAGAGCCCAAACTAAATTACCTTGAAGTTCCCTTCATTTAAAATGGCCTTGCCGTATTGCTATGGACTGGAGTGTGTTCTTCCAAACAACATGTTGGAGCCTTAACCCCCAAAATGGCTGGGAAACAATTAGGTTAAATGAGATTGGAAGGGTCCTGATGGGAAAGGATTAGTGTCCTAAAAAGAAGAAGAGAGCTCAGAACTCTCTCCCCTGTCTCCCCAGGCACATGCACTGAGTCAGGACCATGTGAGCACAGCAAGGAGGCGACCATCTGCAAACCAGGAAAAAAGTCCTCACCAGGCCCCAAACCCTGCTGGCACCTCCATCTTGAACTTCCAGTCTCCAGAACCATGAGGAGTAAGTTGTTTCTGGCCCCGCTCCCCAGTATCTGGTAGTCTATATCAGAGACCCATATTCTAGCCATGAGACAATGTAGACTTAAAAAATAAATTCAATTTGGCGACACTCCCACTGCCCACCTGTGACTATGCAGGTGCTTCTTTTCATCAACTCTCTCCCTCTGCAGGGCTGCTCTTTCTGCCCGCTTGTGTCTATGCAAGTGTCTTTCACTGTCCTATCCCTTTTTTAATAAACCTGCCTTTTGAAATCAAAAAAATAAATAAATAAATTCATTTTAATGTCCAAGCAAAGCAGACATAGGAAAGCAAATCCATTCTGGGCAAGAGGAGGCAGGGGTAGAGGCTGGGCTAGGACGCATGAAAATCCTCCAGAGCCAGGCCTGAGTATTTGCACACACACATGCACACAGTAGTTTTGTTTCTGCCTTGCTCTCTCCAGCCACTGGAGAGCCTACAGGTGGGACAGTCACGCTGTAGAACCCAATAGAAACCAGTCACGCTGTAGAACCTGATAGAGTGTGGGGACAACGACAACTAGCTATGAGTCTCTTCAGAACCTGCTCTACCTAGGGGCCCTCCTAGGTGGTGTTCCCTAGAAGCACATCTTGAGAGAAGGTATCAGCAAGGTATTATGAGGTATTTATGAGCAAAGCCAGTGAGGTCACAGGGCCATAGGACAGGAAGGGGAAGAAGTTAAGAAAGGATGTGATTTTAAGTGAAGTCTCAGGCTCAGCTTAGTCCATGTAAGTTCTGGAGGGAGGGGTTGTCAGCTTCCGGTACATCCAAGTCAGGTGACTCCCAGAACCCAGAGCAACCTTCCAAAGGCTGTCCAGGCAAGCTATGAGCAGCAAAGCATGCAACAGGGGATGGGTTCACAGAGCATTAAAGGAATCCGAGTGGGCCCAGGCAAGGCACCTCCTGTGTCCACTACAGAAGCAAAGCACAGAGCCCAGAGTTGATGTGTTGGCTCACCTGCCCCCAGGGGTGACAGCAGAGGGAGTGTGGACTTCTCACCCCTGAACCTAACTTGAAGATATGCTCACTCCTTTCCTGGTGGGTGGTCTTTCCTTGGTTCCATCTCTCCAGATGGGTGCAGACAGGAAACAGGTGAGCTTGCTAGAAATTGCCCTCCACTCCCCTGCCCGAGCCCCTGCCCCAGAGCAGGCCACAGCGCCCTGACTCCTCCCTTGAACGTGCTGCTCTGCCACTGCTTCTTCCTCAACAGATGGATCATAGCAAGTTCATTTTCTGTATCAGTCACATCACAAATCGTTAAGCATATTGACAGAGTGGAGCGGGCTGTGTGCTCGCTGGGCCAGTGTTCCCACTGCCGAGAGAGGGGTGCCACTCCCTGGCCTCAGGCATGAGTCTGGCTCTCCAAGGCCCCAGGCCTGCCTCTCCAGGGTTCCTTGGGCCCACTGGGTGGGCAGAGTTCAACAAGGTCTACCCCCACCTCTGCAAGGGCCCTTCCACAGCCCCAACTTTGTTTGCTGGTCTTCTGAAGCCAGACGCAGAAGGGCTTGCCAAAGGGCAGCCTGGCTCGGAATTCATCCAATAGTGAAAGCTGGTTGAATGTATACTCAGGGCCTCAGCATGCGAGGATTTGATTCCACCTTCAAGGAACTGTTACAAGGACTCCAAGGTCATTTTCTTCCCCTGCCTGGGCAGGTCCCTACTTTCTGATAACATGAGAATTTCAGTGCCCTTAACACTATCTCATAATCCTCAAAACCCCATGCAGTTCTTGTTTTTATTGGCATTTTAGGAGGCCCAGAGAAGTCCAAAGTCACACACAGCTTGGATAAAGCGGCGGGGGCTGGGTTTCAAACCCAAGTGCATTGGTTTTACAGTCAGCACCCTTAACACCTGAGCCATATTCTTCGCCTTCCTGCTAAGTTTCCCCTCTTAGCCTATTAAACAGTCCTCAATCTAAGCACTTTCTGATATCTCACTGAATTCCCTTTACTTGTAACTTAAACACATTTCCTTGTTCTCTTACAGAGTCCACCTTCTAATAAACTTCACTTACTGGTGAGTAGATGTTTGCTCACCCACTGCCTTTTCTTTCCTGTATATACTCAGTGTTGGTTCTAGCACATGTCGGGGGAGAAGGTGAGGGGCGAGAGGAAAAGAGGGATTTGTGATAGACAGAATCATGCCCTGCTGAACATGTCCATATTCTCATTCTCAGAACCTGCAAATTGCTGCCTTACAGGGTAAAAGAGACTTTTTGCATGTGAGGTTAAATTAAGCATCTGGAGAGAAGATTATCCTGGATTATTTGGGTGGGCCAGGGTAACCACGGGTTATAAGGAGGCAGTCATGTACCAAGGCAGAGGCCAGAGAGATTTGAAGGTGCTGCTTTGCTGCCTTTGAGGATCAAGGAAGGGGGCACAAACCAAAAGAGGGAGACAGCCTCTAGAAGCTGGGCAAGGCAAGGATTTTCCTGTCAGAACTTCCGGAAGGAACACAGCTGTTCCTGCCACTGAGTCTGACCCTTCTAGACCTCTAGAACTATAAGAGAATAATTTGTGTTGCTCTAAGCCACTTGGCTTGTGGTTATTTGCTACAGCCGCAACAGGAAAGAGACACTAGAGGTCAAACAAGAACACTGTCCAGACATTTTAGGGATCTACTCTTGGGCATATTTCCACAGAATCATAAAATCTGGGTGCTTGAATGAAATCCTTAGAGATCACCCAGCCCCTCTTTCTCATTTTACACAGGAGTAAACTGTAATACTGAGACACCCCCATAGCCTATGATCTTTATTTATAAAGTGGGCACATCAACGGCTACCTCTTGAGAGAGAAAAATTACAGATTATCTGCCACCTAAAGAGATAGAAAAATATAGGGCCTCCTTGGTAGCACAACGGGTTGGGGCGCAACCTATGAGGCTAGCCGCAGCCACTACAGCATGAGTTCGATCCCCAGCCAGGGAGCTACCCACATGGTGCAACAGACCTCTTGTGGCTCGCCCACTGCTCCTATTGGTAGTGTATTTCGGTCAGTCTGTCTGTTCTGTTCCCCACTCTGTCTCTGGTGAATCCTCTCATTGCCCGCACCTCTGGCCTGTACCCCAGTTCTTACATGCGTGATAAATAAATCTTAAAAAAAAGAGAAAGGAAAAATATAAGCTTTTGTCACAAAAGAAAGAAACCCTAAGAGGTTAAGACTGCCCTAGGTCACACATTTAGCTGAGCCCAGTCTCAGTTAACCCTCTCCAGTGTTCTCCACACTTAATCCAGTCTATCACCCAATGACAGATACTTATTGAGCTAGGAGACTAGCATGAGGGAGTGGGGAAAACTTCTCAAAGCACTGCCACCAATCCCCCTAGAACCTGACCTCCCTCAGCTGTGCTTGACCTTGACACACACGCGTATACATACAGGCATGCAGTACTCCTTGCCATAATCAGATAGTTCCACAAACCATCCTTACCTCTTCCTCCAAGAAGTCTTCCCAGATAGATAGAGAAACATCATCCCAATCATCATCATCTCCTGAAATACCATGTTGCCTTAAGCACAATGTCGCACTCTGTTCCTTGCACATCTTCACCCTATCTTTTTTCTGTATCATGCAAGAGCCCCTGGGAGTCTAAGTCGACGGTGCCCTCTTGACACATACCCCTGCCAGCTCCTATATGATAGGATCCACTTGCACAAGCCCCCAGGAGGGGACACCTCTTAAAATGCAGTCCCCAGAAACCTGGCTTGCCTCACCCTAGCCCAGGCCTGTCAGATGGTGTTTGCGCACACCCTTGTCATCCTGCCTTCCCTCGACCGCCCCCACAGTGTCCAGCTCTTCCTTTTCCCCAAGTCCTGGCACATAGAGCCTCCCATCCCCTCCATCACAACCCTCCTTTCCCAGTCCTTGACGCCCCACTCAGCCCTCCCTGACAACCTCCCCCGACGCCTTGGGTCTGAAGGCAGATTCCCGCTGCTCTGGCAGAAGCCACCATGGAAGAAGAATTGTGTTGTGATTTTCAAAGGAAATTGAAATCCCCTCTTTACTGCTTTCTAAATGAACATTATAATTTTTCCCTGTCTGCAACATCCCTGCATATGGCCTCCTCTGTGTAGTGAGTGTCTGTGTGTGTGTGTGTGTGTGTGTGAGAGAGAGAGAGAGAGAGAGAGAGAGAGAGAGAGAGAGAGAGAGAGATAGTGCGACCGGCACCAGCTGGGTGTGTGCCTCTCGCAGATCTGTGAAAGGCCGTCATCCCACTGGCGTGAGTGTGTGCTCTGTGGGGAGGAGCCACCGTGACACAGAACAGCTTCTTTCCACTCTACTCCCAGGTGTCTCTGCCCCTGAGACAGAGGTCGCTTGGCCGAGCCTGGATCCACCGGTGCAGGTCTAGTCCAGCCTGTCAGTGGGCACTCAGGACAGAAGGGACGAAGGGCGGCCCTGGGACAGAGGTAGCCCAGAACTCTGGAGAGTAATGGGGGTATGATGAAAGGATGGGAGGAAGGACTTGGGAGGCCAAGAACACAGGGCAGTCTAGCAGACATGTCACAGAAGGCTCTAGAAGAACAGCCTAAGAGGAGGGACAAGAAAGGGCCCCGATCCCAGAGCAGTGTGGGCCATGGGCACATTAACTGCATCAGCAGCGCCTGGCCCTCCAGAAAACCCCAAACCTCCCCAGGTCTTGCTGCTCATCCAGAGAGAGTTGGAAACAGACCCTGACATCCCTCAGCAGGGGCAGGGAGGGGAGAGTCCAGGCAGAGGGTGGGCAGGGCCATCCCTGTGCAACGAGGAGTGGATTGGTTTCTGAGCATCTTGCTCTCTCTGCAAGCACAGGGTGTATAAATTGAGGTGCAAACCTACAAAGCATTGAGTAGATTTACTGCTACCCCAGAGCAGGCAACTGGGACCTAAAGATGAGAAAAGGAGGCATCAAGACCCCCATATCCTAAAACAAGCACTCTTAGAGCCTGCCTGAGGCTGGACCAAACACCACTCCTGACTCTTTGGAGGTGGGAATGACAGGTTGGCCCGAGCTGCTCCTATTCTCCTGACAGAAAAGGCATGGGTGAGGGTAGATGTCACGTTTGAGGTAGGGCTAACTGCCCCAAGAGTCTCCCTTAGAGATGGGGAGAGCCTGCAAGGAGGGGACCCTAGCACCTCACTCTGGCAGAAAACATCTTCTTAGGCAGCTGGCTTGTTGAACAGCCCTGCGCCTACCTGGGCAGGGGCTTGGAAAGCAGAGGTGGCCTTAGGGACAGCAGAGTGGCCTGCACGCTCGGCATTCGCTGTGGCAAGAGTGAGCGAGCCTTCCATAGGGCAAGAGACACTGCCCAAGGGACACTGCGGAAGCCACCTTGCCAGTCGTCCACCAGAGAAGGCAGCCTGCCAGGCCAGGGGATGCCCAATAAGAGTGACCAGGAGATTAAAGGGGTTTGGAAAAGATGAACTGGACTAGAGCCCCCACTTTGGAGAACTCATTGGTGGTGAGTCAGCATCTGCCAGAGAAGCAGCACTTTGCAGGAGGGATAGGACCTCCGAGCTCCCCACTGCCCCCTACTGCCAATATCTGGTACAGGCACCCTCCCTTCCTACTTCCCTCCCCCGGAGAGGATGGGGAGGAGGCAGAGGAAACAGGCCAGAGGGAAGCTATCTCCTGCTCTCCACCTTGGGGAGGAGAATTAAAGAGCAGGCCACCCCAGGCCGCTGCAGGCTTTGGGGCCACAGGTCACCAAGAAAGGTGAGTTGCAATCAGATGTGAGATTGGGAGTTTTAAACTTGATTTCTTTCCAAAATGAAATAAATATTTATAACCAAAAAGGAATTCTAGACTCTGCCTGCGACGTTGTCAGGGGACAGAAAAGAGAGATTCAACAGAGTACCACTGGAAAGTGACTTGAGAAAAAATTTAAATATTTCATGTTTATGCCCAACTGAATTGAGCTTGAACGATACACCAGTTGCATGAGGGACAGACTCCCTAAGACAAGCTCAGTGTGCCTGTGTGTGGGAGGAGAGTATGTATGAGGAGATGTGCAGAATAATAAATAGGGAACCAGAAGCCCAAGGAAATCCTAACAATGGGGGCTTCAGGGGGATGTAGGTGCGGTTCAGGAGCTGAGACCGGCCCCTGGGCAGAGCAGAACTCCATGTGTGAATTCCCGAAGACATTAATCCTCTCTGTGCCTCGGTTTCCTCACCTGCAAAATGGGGGCACAGCACCTACCCATAGGGGAGCTGTGGGGATTGAGTCCTGTACAATTCTGGCTTTGCCATTTTCTTTCCTTCTGGTGCTCTGTCTGCTTAGTCTCCCCCTGCTCGTCCCCCTGCTATGTCCCCACCCTGCTATGCCTCTACCAGCCTTACCACTACCCCCCAGCTTTTCTTTCTCATCTCAGTGGGGGCTTGTGATCCAGGGTGGGCCAGAAGCTACATCTGGGCCTCTTGCTGTCTGTGTCAGCTTCTGCCTCTGAGTTCACGGTCTGATCCTCCTGGATTTCAGGGGTCAGCCTTTCAGGAACAAGAAGCTGATTGGCCCAGCCCTCCCTGTCTGGACAGAACCTTTTAAAACAGCTCTTCATAAGCCACTGAACACATATAAACATGGCCAACCAGGGCTGCCCTTTCAACAGAGACTGCGGGTGGATGGGCTGGGGAAGGACCAGTGAGCCAGGCAGGCCCTCTGATTGGCACATATCCACAATCAAGGAGAACTGTTCTCTCTGTCTCAAGGCTATAGTGATGATAATTAGGATTGGAAAAGGGATTAGGGAGAATCTATCAAGGATAATGCCTCAAATCTCATCTGTGTGCTCGAACAAGGCTGTGTGGCCAATAGGTCGGGCTGTGCGGCGAAGGAGGACGCAGGTTGGGTCTGACACAGACTTGGTGACCCTAGTGTGGCAGACACCCCAGGAGCTGCCAGAAGTTGTGGCGGGGATGCAGGGTAGCTCTCTCCTCCAGCATCGTGTCTTCCAGAGCCAGCAGCTCAGAAATCGTCCCAAATCCAGGGCCTTAGGGGACAGTCTGAGTCCTTGCTCAAGGCCTTTCATCCATCCCACAGCGCAGAGCTCCTACCAGGTGCCAGGCATCCCTCCCCAACCTTTGTGTCTTCATTCTGTTTGCTTATTTACATATCAGTCTGAGTTCCTTGAAAGCGAGGTGCTCTGCTCATTCATCTCTGCATTCTGGCCCCTGGTGGCACAACAACAACAACAAAACTTTGTAAGATGAATGATTGATTAAACAAGGGCTGAGGTTGTCTGGGAAACCTTCACTGAAGAGATGGAAAAGACTTGAATAAGCAAGACTAGGGAAGGGAAGACATTCAAAGGGAAAATGGTGGTGGGGTAGCGGTGGCATAAGGAGGGACAAGGAAGTCAAAAGAACAGTGAGGCCAGAGGCCCTAGGAGAGGGCAATGTGTGCAAGGAGAGGAGTGGAGAGTCACAGCACCCCCACCTCCACACGGAGCTCTCCCCCACCCCCACTGTCATCTCATCCACCTGCCACTGGGCCTTGCCTCCCCTAGCCCACCCAGAGTCCTCCACGGTCTGCCGTCTTAATCCCTGCCTAGGATTTACTAAAAGCCCCGGATGGATCAATCTGGTCCAAGTCAGGATTGATGCTGGGGAATTTTCTGAGGGAGCTCGAGCTCTAATGGCCAGACCAGGCCTGCAGATTAATGGGCTCTCCTTATCCTGACTGCCACAGCCTGCCTCTTCCAGGAGCCCACTGGGAAAAGCCTCCTTTACTAGTCCTTCCAAGTCCCCAAGGGGGCTGTCCTCCTCTGGGTGGCCCCTACTCCTTCTAAGACCTATAGGGACTGAAATAATAAATATTTGTTGTTTTAGGTCATTTGGGGGTATTTGTTATGCATTGCTGTGAACTACCTGTGCACCTCCCCCTTCCCAAAATTTATGCTGAAGGTCTAATCCTAAGAGGACCATATCTGGAAATAGGGTCTTTAGGAGGTGATTAAGATTAAATGAGGTTGCATTCTCTAATAGGACTGTGGCCTCATGAGAAAAAGAGGAGAGGTCTCTTTCTCTCCGCACCATGTGAAGACAGCATAAAGACAGCCATCTCCAAGCCAGGAAAAGAACTCTCACTAGAAATGGAATCAGCCAGCACCTTGATCTTGGACTTCTAACCTCCAGAGCTGTGAGAACAAATGACCGTTATTTGAGCCAACCAGTCTGTGGTATTTTGCTATGGCCATCCAAGCAAACTAATACAAGCCTCAATAGATAATTAATACAACTTCATAAGTGATGTTATTAAATTCATGTTCATCACATCAGAAGGTACATAATGCCAGGTTATTCCACTAATTTTCATTACTTGGTTAAGGTGAACCCTGCCAGATGTGGCTGTTGAAAACATTCATTTACCATTTTTACAAATAGCAAATAATTTGTGGGACAAAACCTTAATGCCCTGGAATATCTTGTTCTTCAACAAGATATCATCAAAGCATGTACCATTTATTGATGACCCCTTAGCTTGAGTCAATTATGTCTTTGAATATTGCAAAATGATAATTTTTCTAATTGTTTCTTTCTACATCTGTTGGCTAGTGTTCTTTGCAAAGAAAAGTTGTCCCTCATCAACAGGAATTAACTACAATTCCTCTTAAAAAGGCAAGGTAAATGCCTAATTCTTTCTTTTTAATTACTAATTTCCTGAATAAGGAATTGGCTCAATAGTCACCTCCAGTGGTGGTAAATGAGTTTCTCTCCATCTCGCAACTCATACAGTTATTTATTTATTTGTCTGTTTACCTATCTATCTAGCAATCACCGTGGTCTGATGGGTATCTATTTGTTCAATGTTTTACAATCAGTTGTATCATTATTCTTTTCCATGCTCAGATTATCCCAGATTTGGCCAGTGGCAGTGCTTCCAAATTGGAGGAATCCAACTTTAATTCCAGACCCCTAAGGAAATGTTTGCAAAGCGGGGTGAAGGAGGGTGGGTGGTGGTATCTCTCCAGAAGCCCACCCACCACTCTTTTTTTTTTAATTTATATTTAATTTATTTATACAAGCACTGGGCACAGTCAGAGCGCGGGAGGGTGAGAGAATTCACCAGAGCCAGAGCGGGGAGCAGAGCAGGCAGAAGGACCGAAGTACACTGCTGAGGGGAGCAGCGGGCGGCAGGAGAGGTCTGCGCGCCATGTGGGACCCCCCTCCGGTGATGGAACCCGCGCTGCAGAGGCTGCGGGCAGCTTCGCAAGCCAGTGCTCAACCACTGCGCCACTGGGGAGGCCCAACCACCACCACTCTTAGAAATCCCTGCCCCTCACCAGGGATATGAGGTGGAGTGGGGGATGTCCCTGAAGGAAAAGAATGGTGAGACGAGATGAGCAGGGATTTCTTAAACACGGATTCCATTTAGGGGATAAGGTAAACTGGAAAAATTAAAAACTGAGCACCCAGACACCTGAGTCCTGCTCCTAGGAGCCTTACCAATTTGCTCTGTGTCAAAAAAACAAGCCAGCAGCCTGCATCTCTGTGTCTTAGCATGCAGGTCTGCCAGGGAATCTGGAGGACATACTCCATGCAGGGTTGATAAAAGGCAGAAAGCACTGTAGGCATGTAAGATGCCATCAATAGGGTCTATCCCCAGAAACAAAATATCACCAGGAAAACTGGGAAGTGGAGAAGGAGGAGCAGGTGTGTGAAGCGTGTTCCTCACAGCTGAGGGTTGTGTAAAAGCCTAGGCATTACAGCTTGGGAGGGAGAACAAAATTAGTCTGAGGAAGCACCTAGAGTTCCCCCAAGCAGGCAGAAGATGATAAACTCCGGTTCTTCTGACCATGCCAATCTCTGATTCTTGGGACTTGAGGCCTGCAGCCCATCTTACAGCCTAGAGGCAATGAAACTAGCACAGCTGAATTGGAAAGCCAGACGCAGCCCCCCCAGTGCCCAGGTCGTGCCCACACCCCGCTTGGAATGCGCTGAACAGAACTGAGTTTCTGGAGCCTGTCCCCAGCCCCCCTCCTTCTGACTGAATCTATTCCCACCCCTGTCTTGAACTTCCTAAAAGGCAGTGAGTGACCTTAAAGGCCTGATCAATGAAAACCGTTATGATTGCTTCCTCCTGAGCCTTCAGATATTATTGAATCCCAAGAATGCCTGTGGGCCTCCTCCGAGAATAATAACAAGAACTCGGGCTCTGATTGGAAGGCGTTGGAGGCTCCTTATACTTGATCGCTCCCATTCTTTTCCTTCTGTTTAGCCTCAGCTCTCCTCCTTTAACCACCCCCACCCCATCCCTTTTGTTCATCCATTGAGACTGGATGTCAAGGTTCTCCAAAAGTCCATGGGTTAAAAAGTTGGGAACGGGCCTCCCTGGTGGCGCAAGGGGTTAAGCACTGCCCTATGAAGCAATCCGCAACCTCTGCAGCACGAGTTCAATCCCCGGCCGGCCAGGGAGAAACACACATGGTGCAGCAGACCTCTCCTGCCTTGCCCGCTGCTTCCCTCAGCAGTGTGTTTCAGTCAGTTTGCCTGTTCTGTTCCCCACTCTATTACTGGTGGATCCTCTCACCCCCAACCCCCTGCATCTCTGGCCTGTACCCCAGCTCTTGTATGCATAAATAAATAAATTTTTTAAAAAAGAAAAAAAATGTTGGGGACAAGCACTTCAGTTCTTTATGACAAAGATGATGAAGGTGCATCTTCGAGAGATGATTTTTCAAGGTCCCAGTGCCCCTGGCCCACAGCTGAGCAGACCATGAAAGCCTAAGAGAAACCTAGGGGTGCAGGAGAGACAGGTGCACAGCATCCTTTTACTATAAGCTTGTCCCAGTAAGGGGGCCCGTACCTGTATGGGGGGAGCTCTGTGTGTGTGTCCAGTAGGGCTTGGCCTGTTGTGTCTGTACCATGAATGTGCATGGCAATTATTTTGCAACAACAGGCAGAAATCACTGTAAGAAGAATAGTTGTCACCCAGACACTTCTCAGCTTGCCTACACACATTCTCCATTCAGGCACACACGTACATACTTCTCTCCAACCTCTCCTAGGTGCAACCTCTTATGTCTACTTCTCTCTCTTTCACAGCCACTCCTTTAGGAAGAAAGCAGCCCTGCACTGCCTTCTTGTTCCTTGCCAGGCCCTCACTTGCCTGGAAGAAGTCTCAGGCTGCCCACGCTTGCCAGGCATTGTGCTGCAGGGTGTTGAGCCGCTGATGCTCAGCTGTGGCAGCCCTGTCTCTCTGCCTCTTGTCCTTCACCAGGTCCTAGGCAAGTGCTGCTGTTTTCTATTCAGTTCAACTGATGTTACGCAGATTTACCTCCATTTTCCCAGGCCCTAACAGATGCCAGGAATATGAAGATGAATAAGGCATCTTTTCAAAAGAGCTTAAAATATAACAGGGAACATATAGATCAATGGCGTGAAATTGACAGTCCAGGGATAAAGCCTCGCATTCGCAGTCAATTGATTTTCAACAAGTCTGTGAAGACAATTCGATGGAGAAAGAATAGTCTTTTCAACAAATGCGACTAATGGTGCAGGAACAACTAGAGAGTCACAATGAATAAAGTTGGATTACTACCTTAAACCATATATTGAAATTAACTCAAAGTGAATTAAAGACCTAAATGTAAGAGTTAAAACTGTAAAACTCTTAGACAAAAGAAATAGGCACAAACTTCATGACTTTGAATTAGACAATGGTTTCTAAATAAATAATAAGTAAATTGGACATTATCAAAATTAAAAACCTTTGTGCTTCACAGGACACTATCAAGAAAGTATGAAGGGCCTCCCTGGTGGCACAGGGGTTAAAGACAGCGCAATCAAACTAGCACCAGACACTGCAGCACAAGTTCGATCCCCAACCAGGGAGCAACACACATGGTGCAGTAGACCTCTCCTACCTTGCCCGCTGCCACCCACAGCAGTGTATTTCAGTAGTTCTGCCTGTTCTGCTCCCCACTATCTCTGGTGAATCCTCTCACCCCACCCTCCTGCATCTCTGGCTTTCACCCCAGTTCTAGTATGCATAAATAAATATATCTTTTTTTAAAAAAAAAGAAAGTATGGAGACAAACCACAGAACAGAAGGAAATCTTTGCAAATCATATACTAATAAGGGACTTATATCCAGAATATATAAAGAGCTATTATAACTCAAAAAGAAAAATAATCCAGTTTAAAAGTGAGCAAAGGATGAATAGTCAGTTCTTCAAAGAAGATATACAAATGGCCAATAACACATGAAAACATACTCACATCATTAGTCATCAGGGAAATGCAAATCAAAACCATAATGAGATACAGTTTCATACACACTAGAATGACTATAATCAAAAAGACAGATGATAGCAAGAGTTGGTAAGGATACAGAGAAATGCAACCTTCATGCATTGCTGGTGGGAATGTGAAATGGTTCATCCACTTTAGAAACAGTCTGGTCATTCATCAAATGGTTAAACATGGTTACCATGGATCCAGCACTAGGGATACATGAAAGAAAAATGAAAGCACATGCCTGCCCCCCCCCCCAAAAAAAAAACTTGCATAGAAATTCCATTACAGCATTATTCATAATTACTAAAAGTGTAAACATTCCAAATATCCATCAGCTGATGAATGGATAAACAAAATTTGGCATATTCTTACAATGGAATATCACTCAACATCAAAAATGATAAATGCTACAACATGGTAAACCTTGAGAAATTATACTAAATGAAAGGAGCCAGTCACGAAAGACTAAAACTCTATGGCTTCATTTTTTTTTTTAATTTTTTAAAAATTTTATCTATTTATGCATACAAGAACTGGGGTGTAAGCCAGAGGTGTGGGGGGTGAGAGGATTCACCAGAGACAGAGTAGGGAGCAGAACAGGCAGACTGACTGAAATACACTGCTGAGGGGAGCAGCGGGCAAGCCAGGAGAGGTCTGCTGTGTCATGTGGGTTGCTCCCTGGCTGGCCAAGGATTGAACTCATGCTGCAGAGGCAGTGGATTGCTTCATAGTGCTGTGCTTTACCCCTTGCACCACCAGGGAGGCCCTCTATGGTTTCATTCAGTGAAATATCTAGGCTAAGCAAATCTCTAGAGACAGAAAGCAGGTGAGTGCTTACTCAAAGTTGGGGGCTAGGGGATGAGAGGGAGGTTGGGAGTAATGGTTAAGGGTACAGTGTTTCTTTTGTAGGTAATAAAAATGTTCCAAAATTGGTTGTAGTGATGGTTACACAATTCCAAAATAATTGACTTGTGCATTTAAATGGGTGAATGGTGTAGCATGTGAATTATATCTCCTGTAAGCCACTAAAAAATACAACAGGGGGATTTTGCTTTTTGGAAGACAGAGTAAATGTAGATGCACTTCTTTTCTGTACCTCTCACTAAGTACTACTGAAAAATCTGGATATTACATGTGCAACAAACATAAAAATTTCTCTGAGACATGGAGAGAAGACATATTTGCTTGAGACCTCGGGACACAGGATTGACACAGTACTGAATTCTCTGGTTTTCTTTTAGCTCGGATATCCCAGGTGATGAAGAAGCTAACAATCTGAAGACATTAACAGGTACAGAAAAAGCACCAAAAAAGTCTGCTCTCTCCAACAAGACATAACTTAAAC